ACTCCAAAACAAAAAGTGTTAAAAATGCTAAATCCTAACCAGCTTTTCTTGTATGAAAAATTAATTTAATTAATTGGTGGTGGGGGGCAGGAATTAGGCAATATGTGTGCAATGTGTGCATTTTGCTGATTTTTTCTGTGCCATTTCTGTTAGTTGATGTGTGTGCAATATTTCTACTAGTGTCAGGTTACAATCCTGAGCTGCAACTCCCCACATAAACAAAAAAAAGTCAATACACTTGATTTGGATTTTTGCCTGTTTGTGTAGCTGTATATATATTTAAATAGAAGTACATATGGTAATATTGTGATATGACACGTTGCCTGCGGATTTAGATTCTCGACGTCAGTAAAGTTGCTGTTGATTGTGTCCAGTCACTGCTGTTTATGTTCTTGTTCTGCTAATTGACTAATCCTTCCAGGCATTGTCCACTCTTGCCAAATGATTCACTGCTTTCAGCTGCTGTCCCTGTAATATGTCTTGAAAGAAAACCAACTGGAACTGTGGGTCACGACGACCAGTTGGAAAAACACACACACACACACACACACATAGAACAAAAAGACGGAGGAAGAAAGAAAGAAAGAAAGAAAGAAAGAAAAAATCCAAACAAATTAGTAGCAAATGCTACTTTTCCCAAACTCGGGGAACAAAAGCTTTGGTTTCGTGTGCACCACTGCTTGAATATAAAGAAATGAATGCATCAATAACACAGCAAAACAGAATGATCAGCTTTCAGTGATGTGGCAGCCAAAACCACCAGTGGATAAAGTGAGTCCATCTGGAGCAAAACCATGATGAAAAAGCTGCATTGTTTTCCTCTTTTTCTTCTTCTTCTTCTACTTCTTCTTCTTCGCTGAAATAACCTAAACGCCCTGCAACCCTCTTTCCCGAGCCCAGGTGCCTTGTGTAGATAACCAAATGAAGAATCTGCCATTACCCACACACACCGCTGAAACAACAGTCGTGTCGACACAGAAGCACGCGTGTGCGCGCACACACACACACAGACACATAAAAGCAAACGCAGCTGTCCTTACAGCGAGACACAGGGACCCTTTACAGCACTGTGGGCCAGTTGCTATCCAGAGCTATTTCTTATTGGTTGGCCCTCTCTCGTTCTCTCTGAGTGGGGCTCAGGCTCTAAGTCCTCTCTGTGTGTAATGAGATCTCTATCAGAGGGAAACATGATCAGAGTCTAAAGGGTGGAGAAAGGGGGAGACTGTGGGAGGCAAAGAGAGAGAGGGAAAAGGTACGTATCGCGAAGGGGTAACGGGGGCAAGCGGCGGGGTGTGAGGCAGGGAAGAAACAAAAACAGGCCTCTGACCCTCCCGACAGTGACCGCGGCTGCACGGAGCAGGAGAGGGGAGCGCTCGCCGGACTCCAAACCAAATCCTGATTCTCGTCTGAGGCTGCATCCGGCTCTCGCTCAACAGGTTTCGGCAGTTTTCAAGTTGTGCCGTTTCAGTTTGTTTTGTTTCACTTCCTCCTGAAAGTCGGCATAGCTGAGCAGGTGAAAGTGGCAGATGAGTCAGTGTCTGAGAACAAACCCATTGAAATGATTGCTTTTGTAAGAGGCACTTCCAAGATAAGGAAGACATTGTATTCTTCTCATTACCTCATGCAAAGAAAAAAAAAAGAAAGAAAGAAAAAAAATCTGCCTAATTAGCTTATTGTAAAACACTAAACATGAAAACAAAACCAGCAGCAGTTAAATTAAATTATGCTGTGATGGAAATGTAGTGAACCAATAAAATTGCTGCCTCATCATCTCAAAGCGCTTTGCAATAAAAAAAAAAAAAAGCCACAAAAATTCCCTTTTTTTGTTTTGGGAAAAATTAAACATATTTGCTAAATGTCCCAGTGGTAATAAAGTTTAGCTTAATTACAAGCCCACTGAACCATTTAACCACGCAAGCATGATATAAAGCAAACCAGTCAACTGTTAAACTCTGAGCCAGACAGCTGAGGTAAAGGGACAGCAAAGTAAGTCGAGTAAAGTAGAGACTCACAGGCTCGAATCAGGAGACTTTACTTTTTATCAAACGCAAACGCTCTTTTCGTTTTTACCCCCCTTTCTTCTGCTATTTTGCGTCCTTTTGTGGGCTTTGACACAGAGGCCAAAAAATAAAAAATAATTCATGCAAAGTCTTTCCAAGCCTCACCAAAAAATGCAAAGAGTTCAAAAGCAGTGCAGCAGACTGTTGCCCAGCCTGTGGCCGCTTCCTCGCTGCATGTTTTTAGAGGTGTGCAACTGTGTTTTCCATCTCTCCTCCTCTCCTTTTCTTTCTCTTACCCCTCTCTCACCACCTTGTTTGTCTCCTGAGCTGCTGCAAACAGGCTGTGGTAGTTACAGGTCATGAGGTAAATATTAGCCGAGGAGGGCTGGAGGACGTGCAGGAACCGCTCACAGCAACCTTGTCAGATCATCATTAAATTGGCATCACTGCAGTGTACCTCAGCACAGTGTGAGTGTCAGTGTGTGTGTGTGTGTCCATGTATGTAGCACGCCTGTACATAGCGGCGCTAGCTTCAGCCAAGGCGATGGGACGTGATCAGTCATAACAAAGTGACATTTCGTGGCGTAATCCCACTCAGCTAAATGAGAACTAATCCGATTTGCTCTGATCAAATGTTAGACTGTTCTTTACCGGCCGGGGGGACGCTGACACATCCCAGCCTTCTTCTTCTTTTTCTGCCCGGCTGCTCCTTCATCACCCCCCCCTCCCCCCCTCCCACCAACACCCCTACTTTGCCACTTCACTCATCCGGCCTCAAATTAAATATCAAAAAGGTCTGATGCATCCTGCAGCACAAAAAAAGAAGAAGAGAGAACTAAAACTCAAGCATGTTTCCTCTTGTTATTTTTCTCACAAGACAGTGCTACCGTGATGATGTATGCTGCCTGTTCAAGCACGCTGGGAGGAAATCAATTAAGCAAACCCCCAGTTATTGATAATACAGGAGGCGGGAGTGATGGCATCCTCACATGAAAATCCATAGCAGCAGGAATGCACATAAACCTGCACAAACACACACACCGTAGCGGCCCAAACCTGCTGGTTTCCTAGACTTTGCCTCATAACTCATGGCCTGTGGGGAGGCACTGGTATTGTTATAGTTTTTGTGTGTATGTAGTACACTGTGCAAGCAGAGGGCCAGATTAATTTATTAGCTGAGGCAGCAGCGCTCCCAAAAGCAGGAACAGGAAGTAAGACATCGTAAATCTCGATAAGTCACCAGATAGTGTACTGTACATTTCTATAGGCTTCTTCCACTGTTATCGCTATAGAGTAATATAGGCCAATACCGAGAGATGGAGTTTAGAGGAACAAACAGTGAAGACTGATGCTGATTCCTGCGCAAGCACACCCACCCCATCTCTTTTTCTTTTATTGCCTATCAGCGAGTGCTGCTGACTGATACATTTCAGAGCAAAAACAGGTTTGTCTCTCTCTCTTTTTTTGTTATTGTAAAGCCTGCACACAGCAAGATAATTGTCTATTGTTTTCCAAAAGGCAGAGCAGCGGGATAATTAGCTTGAGAGAACACTTTGCAGAGTGCATTATTGTTCCACTGTGAACTTTATGAAATATTCAGCCGTTCGTGGGGATTTTACAAGGAGCAGAGTGGAGAAACAGATGGAGAAACGATCTTCCAGTCCCTAAAATCCCAGCATGGTAACCTTCTAAGACATTCCCTTCAGGTGACATCATCAATCAATAAATGTCTCCCTCTATTTTTTTTTTTTTACTCTTAACTAAAAAGTGTGGATTTTTGCATGTGTGTGTGTGTGTGTGTATCTTTGTCTGATGACGCTCATTGTTCCACTACTTCTGCAGCCAAATAAAAGCTGATGGGCCGTAGTCTTGCCATTAGGACCGGGCCACACACACACACTCAGAGGCACACACTCCAATGAACATGGCAGCAATATTCATACCCACTGACTGCACAACGAGCCTCTATGACATTTGACATTTGGGGGATAAATCATGGATTCACTTCAATGAGTAACTTACAGTTATAGGCTGGTCGAGCTACTCTCCATTTCCCCCCAGTGCTGTGAGCTCGAATGAAGGTCAGCTCCAACCACACAGATCTTTCTCTCTCTCTCTCTTTTTCTCTTTTAGTTTATTTTCCCCCCCTTTATGAATGCTTTCCAACATGATGTAAATGTGGGAGTCAAGTCTAAGTGGGTGATAATTGTTACCAGAGCGTAATCTATTATCAGTAGTCTGGGCTCACTTTACTTGTTTGGATGGGAATAATATGGATTTTTAAAGAAAGTGTCTGGCTTCAGCTGCTGACTTTTGAAAAACGTGTCCTTGATTTCATGGGAAGAAATTGCGCTGGATCCAAGCCAGGGTAATTAAGAAAAATACAATTATTTTCAATCATTTGCTCACCTGATATCTGGAACCATCTTGTTATGCATTTTTGTGGGGAGAAACTAAATTCAAACTTGGCCACTTTGGACGGAGTGTGGCCCTCGTACGCCTGTTGGGAGGAAAAAATATCCTGCGCTATAGCTGAACACACTTGGCGTGGTTTACTTGACTTTTTCACCTTTATTCTTTGCACCAATTATGAGTGGATGAACTTCTCACAGCCCTAGAATAGCCGTGATTTAGTTGGAAAATAAAACCTTGGGTGCAATATTGCGAATAAAATTGCTATAATTACCCATCTTAATGTGTGATTTAAGCTGGGCCCGTTGTACATTGTATAAGCATGTACTTAACGGTGTTTCTTCAGTGTTGGGAAATTCCCCACTGGGAAAGACGTCAACGCCACACTCTGCGGCGCAGAGAGGACAATTAGAACTAAATAAATTGTGTTCTTTTTAAGATAATTGCCACATTTAACAGAACATTTAACCCAGCGTGTACACAATGGCAACTTTTCCATAAATGTTAGCCCTCCATTGAGCGCGCACACACACTCACACACACCCATAGAGTTTGACACCCTCGTCCAAATGAAAATGCAAGACTTACTTGGGATTCTGCGAGCTCCAGATTATAGTCTCCAGCGACTTAGCCGAGGGTAACGCCGACCTGCACATTATTGTAAAGATCCAGAGGTAATACTTCCAACAACCGAGTCCCGCCATTCTGATAAATGCACAAGACGAGTGAGCCGAGAACTCTAGAGCTACGGACGGTGCGCTTGGCAACCTTTATCTGCGGTTCGCCCGGTGGGAAGGTGAGCTACGATCAGTCGGGAGCATGTGAGGTCGATATCAGATACATGTCCTTGTGTCCGACTTCTTTAGATCTGCTCCAGACCCCGTGTCCTTAACTGAACTGCCGTGCGAAGGAGCCCCGGTTCTTGATAGGATTTGGAGGAAAGCAGCAGCAGCAGCAGTCCACCGAGTGTCCTGGTTGACCTGTGGCTGAGGCAGTAGAAAGAAAAAACACGACCTTTTCTTTCACTCTGTGGACAAAACTCAGCGATCCCTATGCGTGGAGCGGATCTGACCAATCGCGCAGTTTTGCCAAAATCTGGCGATGCGGCTGTCGGTGGAGCGCCGCGCCGCGTCTTTGTCAGAGCTGCCCTCGGTGGTGCGTGTACCTGTCGCCGTTTATAGCCTACAGATGACCACATTCATCCATCAGTCACAACTCCGCAGCACGCCAGGAATCCCGAGGTCCACTTCATTCCAGTGTTATCTTTCACTCCTACGCCCCCCTTCTTTTGCTATTCTTCCCCCCCCCCCCCCAAAAAAAAAGGAATTGAGTTTCTATTGTAAATATTCCTCCTGGCTCTCAGTGGCGTTACGCGTGCGTGTTGCGCTCCGGCAGGGTCGCTTCTAGTCCAACTCGGGCATGCTGCGTGGCCGGTGCGTAAAAATACAGTCCGGTCTCCCCGCTAGTTTATTGCTTCATGAAACACACACAAAAAAGTGCCGAGGTAAGATTAGACCTGCTCCCCTGCTTCTCGACGTGGCTCCTAAATCAGCTCACCAACATTTCCACGCCGGTATGTTGTTTTTTTTTCTGACCGTCTGTAACACTGTGCACTCCGGTGTGTGCGGCAGCCCGAGCTCAACTGTAACCCGAGCTGAACAGAGCGCATGAGGAACAGCCCACTGTGCCAGCAGCGGCCAATCACAGCGCTCTGTCCGAACTTGGAAGCAGGAAGCGAAGGCATTTAAGGGACGTGGATGGGTAGATGGTAGGTAGAAGGAGGGAGCGAGAATTGGTGAGGGGGGCGGGGGTGTTATTGGGTTGACCCCACATCTCCACCTCCCCTCTCACCACCACCTCGGCCCGAGCCATCGACCCAAATTGAAATGGACGTTGGAGTTATTCGTCATACTGAAAGCTTCGGTGAGGAAAACGAGTGCACCAGTGTGTGTGTGTGTGTGTGTGTATGTGTGAAAGTGCTTACAAGAGCAAAACTTTGGCCCCTTTAAGTCCAGGGCTTGTTGTTCCCAGTAGATAACTAATTACTAATTGGTCCATCAAGAAATTCGCCTGGAGCGCCACATTTATCATTTTGGTTATGAAGGATTGCATTTGTAACATTTTCCCTACGACTAGTCTGTTATTTCTGCTATTTCTAGCTGTGCCGCTGTAAATATATTGGTTTTATTCTATATACACAGGATTACAGTATCTGTTCTTTTGGCCCCCTTCTTTTTCTTCTCTGAAGGGAATGATGATTAATGGTCTCTTTGGATCTCTTTCTAGTCGTCCTCTTTTGGGATAATGAACTGCATGAGAACTTAGTCTCCAGTGTCAATAGACAATAGACGGTCGGTAGCCTATAGTCACTGGGCCATTCATTCACTGAGGAAGAAATGCTTGACACATAATTGATCATGTCCATGTCTGTGCCCCCTTTGTGCGCGCATATGTGTGTGTGTTTGAGGGAGAAAGGAGAGAAGAGTTCCCCTTCATTTCCTTGCATTTATTCAATCAATGCTGCCCCCTAATGGCTGTGATGAAATCGATTCTCAGACTACAGGTGGGGGGGGAGACTGAGTCTAATTGGAAAGGAAATAAAGCAGACATTTAAAGACACGTCTTATGGTTTCTGAAATTATTTTTTTTATTACATCCTGTGGCGTGTTGACAGCTCATAAATCTCTGTGAGACAATAACACAGGCTTCCAGTGATTATACACCCTAATTGTCTGAGTAAATTTATATTTGTGCAGTTAATGTGTGCGCATCCTCAACAGCAGCAGTTGCCACAGAGTTGCCATCTTGGATGCCTGATGCTTTACCAATCAGAGGGTCATGGACAGATGCCACCTGTGTACAACTTTGTGGACTGCCACACATAGTGCCAACAGTTCGTGAGAATAGTGATGTAGAGGTTTGTTAGCCCAGCAAAACATTATCCATAGATTTGTCCTAGGAATGATCAAAATTAATCTTTTACAATAGTATATGTAGATTTCAAAAGAAAAAAAAATGTTATATTCACTACAATATGTGAAACATGACTGACTGTCCACATGCCTTTACATAAACAAAAACTCCTCTGTGCAACAAGGAGTGTATTGAGCTTAGCTTTCATATTCAGTCACATCATAGAGAACCCATTTGAGTGTTTTTCACCCTTCCTACAGCTACCTATGAGATACTGGCATTTTCAAGGAATGAGGTCATTGTGTTAATGTGTATAGGTGGCTGTGATTAGTGCTTCCATAAATAGCCTGAATGTACTTTCATATCACAGCAGCTCACGCACACACACTTCAAAATGGAGAACGCCCATGTCTAAGGGGTTTTTTCATCGCTGATTGGTAGTAATGTGTAACCTCACATTATTTATTTCAGCGCAGCTGTTTATCAGCTTGTTATCCAGGTATGTTTTTACTGCTTTTCTAGTGTGTTTGTGATCAATATCAGATGATACTCGCTGTTGTACCTCTCTTTCGACCTCCCACAACCTGTTACATCTGATTTTCAGTTCAGTTCTTAAGTAATTTAGCAAACCTCAGCCCCTTCCTCTTCCTTAAGAATGCCTAAATGACACCTACCCTTCTACTGAGACTCTTTCCGATGAGGCTTCAGTCAACAGTAGTACAGATATTGCTCGTCTGCTGTAGGGTTGTTGTTGTTTTTTTGTCTAGTTTCCTCAAAAATTTTAAGGCCACGCTAAACACCATGTCACAATATAACAACTTGTCATCTAATAGCTCTTTAAGAATCACCTTGTTGATGCAAAAATACAGTTTTATGTCGGTCAAACTGTTTTTCATAGATTCAGTTAAACTAATTATGTGTTTTTGCAAGAAGCTGCCGGTAATAAAGTGTCTAAAGATACAATTTAAAATTGGTTTATGTTTGTCTGTTTATGTGCAGACACAACACTGGTTCAGCCCACACGTTAAGTGCCTTTTTGCTTTAAGAGCTTGAATGATTTATAGATCAGGTCAGTGTTGAGCGGCTTAACAAACAGACAAACAAACAGAAGCTTCCTCGGAAAGTTGTCAGGTACAAGGACTGGACTGAAAATGAGTTAAAAAGCAGTCAATGTCCAAAGAAAACCTTGGAATGACCTTCACAAAGCCTGGAGAACTGTGGCTCAAGACCACTTTTTAAAATATTACAGGAAAGTCTGGCTCCTTGGAAGCAGAATATAAAGAAATCAGGGGTAGCTCAACACTTGTGCACAGCACTGTAATCATGCTTTTATTCATTTAATATTTAATTGGTCAAATGTGTCAGAATGCGGTCAATTCACAGTTCAAAACACCTACTACCACGCTGACACGCTTATAATGACCAGGCAGATACCAAGTAGGTGTCCTGCTTATTCACTTTTAGTGTTGCAAAGTTCAGCTGAGGCTGATTAAGAACGTCACCACTTTAGCAGTTATTACGTTGTAACCCAAAGTACTGGATTAATTGAAATTTTGACTGGATATTGGCACAGACACACGTGAAAGGATTACTAGAGTATTTCTATCCCGCTTTAGGGAACACGAGCGCGCAGCAGATATTATTGCAGTATATCCAATTGCAGTGAAGACTTTTTCCTTAAAGATGCTCCTGCTGGTGTTAAAAGAAATGTCAGGTGATTGCCATTCCTCCTCTGTGGGCCATGAATGTCTATATGAACCTGCAAGGCAACACATTCAGTAGTTTTAGAGACTGACTGGCAGTCAGCTTAACATTACACTCCCCAAATCCTGCTACTGTTCTTGCTATGAATACTATATTGTCATATAAAGCAGGAACACTGTAAATTCTCCCTTTTTCAAACTGAAGCGATTCTTTGGTTCTGAAACGTTCACAGATTTATATGAAATTCATTGTGTCATCATTTCTTACAGCTCGTAAATGGGAGAACGGAGAGACATTTGCCGTCGCTTTTGTTTTCTTCTCTCTGAATCCAAGATGAACCCTGCTGTCGAGCACATAGTTGCTTCCCAATCTGATATTTACACTTAGCAAACACTGAAAGTATGACATCATGGTTCCAGGATGAAGCCGCTGCGGGCTCGTAATTCGTCCAGCAACCTCACAGGGGAAGTAAATCACAGTTAAAACGCCCTCCTCTCGCTTTTAATCTGCCCTTAATGAAGTCTGGCACATTTCCCTTTAGTCGTGGCTCCATGACACGACTGTGATCTACAGGCCCAGCCCGGAGACCAGAGGCCCGTGGCCTTGGTAAGTGCTGTGGGAGACGTGGCTTGAGCCGGGGCTGCGTGTCCAGGTATGAGCCGAGCCCCTTTGGCATGCACGGGGTCAAGTGGTTAACCCTCATTATCTGGAGAGGACGAGGAACATGTGACTGGGACGTTCCAGCTGCAATCAATATCGAACAGTCATTAACCGCAGAGACAATGCATCCTCACACACAGAGACGCCCGCGCACACCCGAGCACTTAGTGGCACATGTTTCTCGTCCATGTCACGTACTGTAAAGTCTCCACCAAAGGAAACGTAAGGGCATAAACACAAACAACACTGATCCACTCCAAACACTGAGCCATTTTAAACGGTGGGAAAACTCAGCTAATGTTAACAGGCTATTTTCAGAGGCTGACACTTGAAGGTTGTTGTATAAGCTTTTCCTGCTGCTTTGATTTAACTGTAGCGGCAGAGAGGCCAATCACAACAGCTGGGCTATCCGCAGACTTACATTTCCTGTTTGTGGTATGCTTGATTGCTGTCCAGACGTCTTCCTCCCTTCTCTTCTTATGCTTGCTTCAATCTACCTCCTCTCCTTTACTCGTCTCAGCCATCACGACTGACAGAAAAGCACTGATTACACACAAATAACAATCTGCTTAAAACATGTCCTCCACATATTAC